TTTTCGTGATGAAATGTGGTTGATAATGTTCCTTGGTGAGAGTTGAAGGCTTAGACATCCATTGTCTAGAAAAGTGGGAACAGATTTGAAAAATTCCGGGAGAGTTGGTCAACGAAAGGGAAAATATCAAAAATTGGAAAAATTGAACAATGACTGAAGATTTCGAAAGTTATAATGTTATTAGTCATCACCCGAATCATGGTCTGAAATTTTCTCTGTTTCTTTTTTATTCTCTATTCTTCGTCATCATTTTTCTACAGTTTATATTTCTGTTGTTACTATATTATCGACATTTTGCTAACTGTTTATCGATTCAGTAATTCATTTCCATTTCAAGTAACGAAAATTTGTTTTTATATCGTTCTCATAATTTCAAACTTTATACCCATTGTTGTTCTTCTCATTATTAATAATTTTTTTGTGGATCTCATCCGAATGTTCTGATATTTTATTGATTATTTCTCTTCATAAATTTCAAAACTGTCAACAAATTTTAATCTCTAGCATTCGGCCAGTCGAAAGAACCTCTCCTTTTGCATCAACCCCAAAAGTTTTGGAACTCTGATCAAATATTTCTGTATGAATGAAAAATAAAACTATAATATTCGACAGAAGTGTAGAATAAACGAACATTATTTATTATATTTTTCATTGAAAATTGCAACATCGTTTTTCCAAGTTTCGTCTCCTATTTTGTTTTGAAAATCACAAAATTTCTACCAATGAAACAGCAGCAATTAAAAGCACTTCAACATAAACATGTATATCTGCAACTCATTTTGTCGTTTCCCTCAATGCATAAAAACGATGATTATTTGAAGGATAGGCAGCTTCTGCAGAGTTTTACAGACATTAAATATACCATACTTTGTCCATCTAAGCAACAGAGTTCTCCAAAACATTATCAGTCTTAGTGCACGTGATCCCCCAGACAAGGCTGGTTGTACAGAGTCGCATTAAGGAACGACCGATTTTTTTCTAATAATATGCGGCTGGGTAAAGGAAAACATTTTAGGTGGAGTGTAGGGACACAAATTCGCAGTTTTTTCAGCAGTATCACTATTTGACAGTTTAAAAATTTGAAACTCTAAAATACCGTATATGAACACAACACAGGCGTTAAAACGTAACTCACCACTTCGACCCTGTAGGGGTACCTGAACGAATTCCACCAGCCGATTGCAGTTTAATCTGATTGGCCAGCGTAAGAAGGCTTGTTTATTCCAACCAATAAAAACAAATGTGCGTGGTGATCAAGCTTCGATCACGCATCTATCATTGTTCAGGTTATTTTGTTGGATAGAGAGAGTTTAGGCATGATCTAACTAGTTGAAACGAACATAAGTCGGCGCTCATAAAAAGCGCTGTCACCTCACGATTTGATCTCCACAAACTTTATTTGAAAAATAATAAAAAAACTTTTTGTGTTTATGTTTTTTTCTATGAAAATAACTTCAGCACCAAGGTTAATCGTTCGAAATGCGTGCAAACTCGTAATTTTCAAAAGTTTGTTTATAAGCTATAGTGAACATTCCAACTTGGATAAAAACATGATTTCATTTTACTAGATAGGCACTTTTTCATCTGATGATGGTATGATAGATGTCTGATAATCAAATATGTGAAATTAATCTCACTATAAAATCATCGGCGAAAAAATTTTGTTTCATCATTCATTGAATAAGTAACCTGTGATTTGTGTTATTGAAAATAAAAATGATTCTGACGTCACAATACGTCTGTATTGTGACGCTCGAAGATGCTGTTGAATAGCGAAACACGGGTCGGGGTTTTGTGAAAGTATCGGTCAGTCCTATCATATTTTTATGAATATGATCGATCATATTCAAAAACAGGTTAGCAGATAAAATTCCTTGTCGACTGTATTCAATTTAACGTTCAACGAATAGAATATTTTTTGTTTTCTTGATATATTAATAGTCCGATACGCAATTACATAAATCAAAATCAAAGTATCAATTTTAATTTTTTCAAACCACGAAATGATGTGATGCCAGAGAAATTCATTTCATAAACTGATTCTATTTCCCAAAACTAATTTATAATACAGACTATTCAGTTATTTTTGCCTCGAAAGCAGTGGGTGTTGTAATTTAACGAATACTATAATATCGTATTAAATACCAGTTTTATATGCAACTTCATAGCTGACTAGGATGCATTCGAAAATGAATAAACCAGAATCAATCACGAATATTGTGAAAGTTATGTATGAAATATAAAATAGTGGCCAAATCAAGTGTTCTAAAAAGTAAACAAATTGATTTTCCAAAATACCAAAAGGATCGTACAATAAAGAATTTTATGAATTTGCTGATTTGATGCACGATAAAAATTCAAAAATAATGGCGGAGTAGGTTTTGCTTACCTATTTTTGCTATACCGTTATGATCAGTTGAAATTGTGTCAAGTTGGGAGAAATAATTCATTATGATTTCAAATTCTGGCACAAAATACTGTAATGTCTGGCACTGTAGATTAGCAAAATTTGTAAAAAGTTTTTTTTTACATCAAGTATGGAACTTTCTTTTATTGTTTTTGGCAGTTGAAGATTAGTTCTGAAAACTGTAAATAGTAGGTACATGGAAGAAAAATCCCCTTCGAAAAAACTATTTCCATATGAATATTGAATTATACGAAAAATCTTTTTGTACTCAAAAAATTTGTTATAGAATCGAATCTGATTTAATTCTTAAAAACGCTTCACAATACAATATATGAAATAGTTACGATATCAACTTTCACTTACATAGAACACTATCACTCAATGACGGACATCGAAGTTGCTCACAATTTTTTGTACAAAGATGGAAAAGTAAAAGCCATACAGTTTTTTTCCAGTAGATTTCCCAAATCATACATAGATATATTTGTTTTCATATTTCCTTCGTGCTTAATATTTTTGTTGATTATTGAAGAAATACTGTCCCAAATTTCTGAATCGTCTGTTATTGAATATTCATACTGGGTACAACCATAAAAACAAAGAAACAAGTCTCATTTTATTGTAGGCAACAGTGAGACTAGGTCTATCAAAATTTCATTTTTCGATTTTCTTTTTCAAAATATCAAAAATCATTTTTCAAAATGAAATATTTCATCAATCAAGGGCCATATCCCTGATACTCCAAATTAATATTTTTGTACAGCCGCATTTTTTAATTTTTGTTAGGCAACTGATTTGAGTATGAAATAATTTGAAAACATTCGAAAGATTTTATCCTAAATTATAATAGGTACAGAAAAGTTGATGATTAAAACCCTAAATATGAATATTTTGGAAAATGGTGTGATTGTAAATGTGACAAAATATATAACTAATAATGTGACTAATATATATATAACAGATCAATCACGGTAGAAAAAATTATTTTCACAGATTTCTACTGAGTTTTCATTCGTCACGACCGGTTTTGGTTTGTTAAACTATTCTCCAGTGAACTCAGTTTACTTGAGAGCCGGTTTCGGTTTGTTGAATATTTCTCAAGTAAATTTAATTTAATTGAGAACCGGTTTCTATTTGCTAAACCATTCTCAATTAAATTCGGAGAGAGAGAATTCAATATGAATTGCTACAAAATAAATAGGTCATCAATCAAACACATTTTCGCAGTACTTATTATTACCACCGATTTATGTCCCTTTCAGTAGGTTAGGTTGGATTTCAATCCTAGTAAAACCCTGAATATTTCTGGAGTTTTTCCCAACACCAAACCTGTATTTTTAACACTTGGACACGTTTTTCGATCACCAAGTGATCATCTTCAAGAGGAAGATTAATCTTCCCCTTAAAGATGATTGAAACACGTGTCAAGGTGTCAAAATAATGGTTTGGTGTTGGGAAAAAAATCCAGTAATATTCATTACTAAACCAAACAGTGCATCACAACTAGTAAAACCCTGTAGAAGCTGTCCAGTTTGACCTTTCCATCTACCACTACCCACTCGAAATTAATTTTAGGTCGAGACTAGTTGCTTCGTTTTTCAGTTGATTTTTCACTGATATGATTTTCCACAATGAAAAAAGTTATGAGTATAAAAGATTAAAGAGAAAGGCATAAATTGGGAAAAAATACTTTACACTCTTTAAGGATAAAGTGTTAGTCTTTTCATTCAGTTATTCAACAATATATTTCCTAATTGTTCACTTATGTAATTACAAACAAAGATAATATTTCAAGGATCAAGATGGTTCATAAAAGATTATTTAGTTATGTCATTGCTTTTTCTCTTCACTCCATGGTTATTATCCTGTGACATTTTGCTCCATTCCTCTACTACGAATATTACTATTGATACAGTTTTCTTCGTAAGACGTTATTCACAATTTTTGACAATTTACAAATTTCTACTCATTCACATACCCATCAATCAAATTTGAGTAATTTGAAAAATAGTGCTCGTGCGTGTTAATACCGTAATGTACAATTGGTGAATGGCGACTTTGGAGTCAACAAAGGTAATTTTGAAGGTATAGAACATAAATTCAAATGATATTTTGAAGTTTTTTATCGTTGAATATTTTGAAGTTATTTGATGATATGTATGTGTTATTGATTAGATATCAAATTATACTGAATCTTATTCATTGCATCATCGAATCTATTTAAATTTTTACAACTATGAATTAATTTCGTCGACAAATAACTGAAATTTCTTACATAAATATAATAAATTTCAATTGTAATTTTCTGTTGAAATAATAAGTCATAAAATCAGAAGGTAACTTTGCCATCTTCCGTCGGCTGACGTGAAAGGTATCCTTTAAAGAAAGTTTCATAATGGTAAACTCAGCATATGGGTGTGTAAATGAAAATGACATTTATGGATTATTTGTTTGTAATAAATTATTTGAATAAGTAGGCCATTCTTCAGTATACCTACCCAATCATACTCTTATGAAAAAGTTTGAGATATTTCGAGCAATAAGAAAAAAGTGATGCTTCAGAAATATTAAAATGACAATTTGTCTCGCTTACCTTGTAGATTCATTGTCGACGGGAACATGGTGGCGCGGTGAACATCTTGGACATGAGGTCTAGCACCCATAACAGCACATTGCGAAGCAGCAGTACCAGGATGGTGGACCCCCATGGGTCCCCCAGCTCCAGGGTTGTAAGTTCTGGCCATGGAGGCGGCCGCTGCAGTATATCTGTAAGCAGCCTGCGACATTTGGCTGCAGGACGTTAAATCTCCGTAGGAACAAGGCATATTTCCCAATCCTGTGGGGTCCATGGTAGTTCCTTGCAGGCAGCTAGAGTCAAAGCTCGCTTGATTCAGGTAGGAGTAGTCCATGTTGGCGCGAAAGAACAGAATTTTGATTCGAGTTATGAGTTATGGCAACTTGTGGCTCGCCTTAATAAAAATAGCCTTAACGTTAATCGAATCAAAGTTTAATATTGAATTACGACGGGTTGTAATCGCGGGTTTTTTAGAAACAACACAGAGAAAAGCGCGTTGGACTCAACTCTATGACTGAAATCAAATGATAAGCTTAATTCAATAACAACCAACTTTAGGGGAGGAACGGAAAAACTGGCTCGCAGGAAAATGGGGATGAAATCATGAAAACCGGCAAGGGATGCTGTGGAAGTGGGCGGAGCGAGCTCCATGACAACCCGGGCGGCCAATGGGGCGCTCCCGCGCTTCGAAACATCAACGGGGGTTGGTGAAGAATCGTGACGTCACGGCCCGGAGAAGCACGCGACCGAGGGTAGTGTCTGTGACACAATCGCACATATGAAGGGAATATTAAAAGTTGTACTGAAATCGAATTTGCATTCTGATCTTATCTGTTTCCTTTTAGTGTTTATATATCAACACTCAACAGTTGAAAGGAGTGAATGGAGATGCTAGATTTCTCTCCGGGTTTCCAGATACAAATACATCAATTCATTCAATATGATATTTTGTTTTTCGAAGAAAATGTATATAAAATTAAAAGAAATGATAATATGTCTAAATTAAAAAGGATATATTTTGTGACCCTGTACATGTTCAACATTTTAGGAAGATTTTAATAACGATGCTGTTACATGCTGTTCTAGATGCTGTTCTAGATGCTGTCAAAACCTTCTAATTTGTAAATTCTGGCACTTCACCCAAACTACACTTAGTTTATTAACCATTTGTACTCATAAACAAACTCTAATATCTAATATTCACAATATTGGTTGTCTTATAACAATTCATGTTCTGTATTTTACAAAATTAATTTTTGAAATTTGCATTTGGCAAAATTCATGAGCTCCTCTCCAATTCTCTTAGTACTAGAGTACCACCAAGATTTAGCCAAAGCCTCGGTAGATGATAACATTATCCTGAGGTGGATTAAAGGGCACGACGAAATCTGTTTAAAATCTGTTTTTCCGTTAACCAGCTATCGCACCCCTACGAACGACAACCCTCAGAAGTCGAAACTTGTGCGAGCCAAGGATTAACGAGGTCTTACCTTTTAACGTGTGATTCCTAATACAGAGACAGACCATCGAACTTAGCGTGATTTTTTGGTGTTGGCTCTCCTGGGCTCTTACATTAGGACGACTGGACTATGGAAGCTTGAGGAAGCTATTGTATAGCGAAACATGTGTTGCGGTTGTGTAAACTGTCCAGTGAAAATTTCGCAATGAAGTGATACACGAAAGTCTGGAGTAGAAACTGAATGGAAAAAGTTATTTTTGTGTAATCAAGTGTTCGTATGAAAGTTGTTATTGCAAAGTTGCATGACAAAGTTGTTATTGCAACAAGTTGTCAAAACGACTTTTGGCTTTCGTGTAATTCAATGTTCATGTGAAAGTAGTTGTTTCAGAAGCATTTTTTCTTCCAGTTTCTATCTGAAAACAACTTCTATGAATGATCTATTATTGTCATAAAGACGTTTTATCTCCTTTCTTTCTTTGGAAGTGTTCCTACATTTTTAGTATAATGATAGAGATGAAGGAATTGGATCGGAAATGACTCTGGCCTCTTCTTGTGCAATGTTCGATTCATGATTTTTGAAAAGCCCTGTGAAGTAGAGCTGGGGTACATTATAATGTCTGTACACATCTTCTGATTATCAGTCAATATGAAACCATTCCGATTTTTCAAATCGTTTCCAGTAAATTGAAAGAGGTCGAATCTTTACATTTACTTCCGATTCAACCCTCCCTCAAACAATAAAGAAACCAGACAAAATGATGAAATAATACAGCTTATTAAAAGCCGGGCGTCTACCCGATTAAACCATCGCTTTTCATCTGTTTATCGTTATAACTTGTATTTTCTCCTCCATTGCGCAGAATTATCTCTTGCAATATTCGATGAGACAATATCAGACCGGAGAGACCGTAATGATGAGCTAACGCCAACTCATATATCGAAAGGCATTTCTACAACGAGAGTTGATGCTGTGGATTTGGGAGTTGAATATTTAGGAGGGGATAAGAGTGGGTGCAAATATAGGGTGTCCAAAAATGTATTATTCAGAGATAGAGCACCCCTAATGGTACACAAACGCTTCATAAAACAATGTGGAATCCCAAAGCTGGTTGAAATTCTGAACTCATACACTAATAATAATAATAATAATAATAATAATAATAATAATCAGTCCTTGAGGATGGTGGAAGAGTATACGCATGCTATCGGTATGAAATTCGGGATAGACAAATGTGCAATGGTTCATCTCAAAAGAGGACGATGCGGGGACTACGGAGAGGATGTGCAGCTCGTAGATGGAAGCATCCTACACCATCTGGATGCCGGAGAGACGTATACTTACCTCGGGGTGGAACAACGCCACTCACAAGAGGTAACTGCAGTGAAAAACTCTCTCCGCGGCAAGTATCAGCACAAACTTCGACAGATCTGGTCATCG